TTGGGTTTACTACCTTTTTATTTGGGCATTTTTATTGTTCAGAAATGTGGTGGGTACTCTCTTCGTTCACTGGACTTTATCCTGCTAACTGTTCCAAATGTCCGAACTGAATTTGGTAAAAGGTCTTTTATGTACTCTGCGCCATCGTTTTGGAACACCTTACAAAATAATTTTAAACTGGAAGAACTTGTCCCGATTGGTGTTTTTAAATCTCTGATGAAGGATTTTGAGGCTGATTCCCTGACCTGTCAATGTTTTTAATTTGCTGTTTTTGATATTGTTATACTCCTGTGAATTCATGAATGGTTTTTACTAGATTACTTGTAGTTTTTCATGTTGTCTGTCTGTAATTTTTTGTAATGACTTGGTGCTGCCTATCTTGGCCAGGACGCTCTTGAAAAAGAGATTTTAAATCTCAATGAGCCCTTCCTGGTTAAATAAAGGTTAAATTAAAAAAATTAAAAAGGTCTGGAGACTGGCTAGGCCACTCCAGGACCTTAATGTGCTTCTTCTTGAGCCACTCCTTTGTTGCCTTGGCCGTGTGTTTTGGGTCATTGTCATGCTGGAATACCCATCCACTACCTATTTTCAATGCCCTGGCTGAGGGAAGGAGGTTCTCACCCAAGATTTGACGGTACATGGCCCCGCCCATCGTCCCTTTGATGCGGTGAAGTTGTCCAGTTCCCTTAGCAGAAAACCCCCCCCAAAGCATAATGTTTCCACCTCCATGTTTGACAGTGGGGATGGTGTTCTTGGGGTCATAGGCAGCATTCCTCCTCCAAACACGGCGAGTTGAGTTGATGCCAAATAGCTCGATTTTGGTCTCATCTGACCACAACACTTTCACCCAGTTCTCCTCTGAATCATTCAGATGTTCATTGGCAAGTTTCAGAAGGGCCTGTATATGTGCTTTCTTGAGCAGTGGGAACTTGCGAGCGCTGCAGGATTTCAGTCCTTCACGGCGTAGTGTGTTACCAATTGTTTTCTTGGTGACTATGGTCCCAGCTGCCTTGAGATCATTGACAAGATCCTCCTGTGTAGTTCTGGGCTGATTCCTCACCGTTCTCATGATCATTGCAACTCCACGAGGTGAGATCTTGCATGGAGCCCCAGGCCGAGGGAGATTGACAGTTCTTTTGTGATTCTTCCATTTGCGAATAATCGCACCAACTGTTGTCATCTTCTCACCAAGCTGCTTGGCGATGGTCTTGTAGCTCATTCCAGCCTTGTGTAGGTCTACAATCTTGTCCCTGACATCCTTGGAGAGCTCTTTGGCCATGGTGGAGAGTTTGGAATCTGATTGATTGATTGCTTCTGTGGACAGGTGTCTTTTATACAGGTAACAAGCTGAGATTAGGAGCACTCCCTTTAAGAGTGTGCTCCTAATCTCAGCTCGTTACCTGTATAAAAGACACCTGGGAGCCAGAAATCTTTCTGATTGAGAGGGGGTCAAATACTTATTTCCCTCATTAAAATGCAAATCAATTTATAACATTTTTGACGTGTTTTTCTGGATTTTTGTTGTTGTTATTCTGTCTCTCACTGTTCAAATGAACCTACCATTAAAATTATAGACTGATCATTTCTTTGTCAGTGGGCAAACGTACAAAATCAGCAGGGGATCAAATACTTTTTTCCCTCACTGTATAAACCTTGACACACATTTTTTTCAAAGAATCATGTTATGGGTATGCTTGTCATCGGCAAGGACTAGGGTGTTTTTTCAGGATAAAAAGAAACGGAATAGAGGAAAATCCTAGAGGAAAACCTGGTTCAGTCTGCTTTCCAACAGACACTGGGAGACAAATTCACCTTTCAGCAGGACAATAACCTAAAACACAAAGCCAAATATACACTGGATTTGCTTACCAAGACGACATTGAATGTTCCTGAGTGGCCTAGTTACAGTTTTGACTTAACCTCTATGGGATCGGTGTCTCGTATACGGGACGGTTGAGCTAACGTGCGCTAATGTGATTAGCATGACTGTTGTAAGTAACAGAAAACTTTCCAGGACATAGTCTTATAATGGCAGAAAGCTTAAATTCTTGTTACTCTAACTGCACTGTCCAATTTACAGTAGATATTACAGTAAAAAAAGACCCTGCTCTTGTTTGAGGAGAGTGCACAACAACAACAAACTTATCACGGCAACTGGTTTGATACATTCTCCACTAAAGGTAAATAATGTACTTACATTCTGTAATCTTGCTCTGATTTGTCATCCTAAGGGTCCCAGAGATCAAATGTAGCATAGTTTTGTTTGATAAAATCAATTTTTATATTCAAATGTAGGAACTGGGTTCTACAGTTTGAACCCTTGCTGTCTCTGGCTCCACACACACTCCGCCTGGCCATCTAGATGTGTGAAAGTTAGTGTATAAGCTAATGATCCAACATGTATGACATTCCTGGGAGTGTGTAAACTTACATTTTGTATTACCATATCATTTTTGAATGTTCTTTTTAGTTATGTACTTAAAAATTTATCAATTGACCAATTCAGCACATTTGAGCAGACTTGATACAAAATAGTCCAGTATTGCAATGCTTCACTGGATCAATCTGAAACTTTGCACACACACTGCTGTCATCTAGTGGCCGAAATCTAAATTGCGCCTAAACTGCAATATTATATTGTGGCCTTTCTCTTGCATTTCAAAGATGATAAAAAAATACAATAAAAACGCATGTTTTTTTGTTTGTATTATCTTTTACCATATCTAATGTGTTATATTCTCCTACATTAATTTCACAAGTATTTTACAATCCAGGTGTGTAAAGCTCTTAGAGACTTACCCAGAAAGACTCACAGCTGTAATCGCTGCCAAAGGTGATTCTAATATGTATTAACTCAGGGGGTTCAATACTTATGGAATCAAGATATATTAGTGTTTTTATTTTTAAGTAATTTTTTCAGTAATGTTAGAATGTTTCTTCCACTTTGACATAGAGTATTTTGTTTAGATCGTTGACAGAAAATGACAATGAAATCCATTTTAATCCCGCCTTCTAACACAACAAAATGTGGAAAAGGGGGTGTGAATACTTTCTAAAAGCACTGTATATGAGGAACCTTATACCTGCCCAACCCAGTCACATTGGAGTTTCATATACTCAGTGTCAGAAAGGTGAGTTTCCTGAAGGAAGGTGAGAGAAGCCCCAATCCTTCTTTAGAGCACAGAGCATTTTTTCCCCTTTTGATTACGTTTGATAAACCCCTAATATTCTGGCAAGTTATATTTAACCGATGTTATCCACTTAAATGTAAGTAAACCCTTAAAAAACGATTGCATGTTGCTGCAGCATCCTCAATATTACATCATCATCACGTTGTATCATGAGAGATCTACAGTACCATTTATGTAGTCTGTCCACGAGAGATTTTGACTGATGTGATGCCAACGTTCCTAAGCCTCTTCCATCATCACAAGCCAGCAGCATCAGATGTGTCGTCATCTCAAGCTGCTACCATCACAGTCAACTACTGTTTGTATGCCAGATATGATCCTGCTAGAGACTCCCCAAGTCTATTTCATTTGACATTTTCGTCATTTAGCAGACGCTCTTATCCAGAGCGATTTACAGAAACAATTAGGGTTAAGTGCCTTGCTCAAGGGCACATCGGCAGATTTTTCACTTAATCGGCTCGAACCAGCAACATTTCGGTTAATGGCCCTACGCTCTTAACCGCTAGGCTACCTGCTGTCCTATTGCTATACACACCCCAGCCAAGCCTACATTACCTAGAGACCATAGAGTGCTGTAGCTATCCAGGAGTGTAGGTGATCTCATTGCACAACACTGTCCAAACAGGGTTGATATTTAGCTTACTGTTTACTTAATAAGGGTGTAGTAGTAGTGTGTTTCTGATACCCTACAGTATAGTTCCCAAGCCTTAGCCTCAATACGTCCTGTTGTTTCCATCAGGGTTCAGAGTGAGCCCTGAGGCGTTTGTTTTGATCTTAAAGTAAGTGGTTTGCCACGTTTAATGTACTTAATCTCTGAACTGGAAAGAGAGCGAGAGAGAGCGAGAGCGAGTGAGAGAGGACGTTAATGGCTACCATTGTTTTGCGATGTGGCAATGTGAGATGGGTTTGTATGATGAGGCTGCTCAGGCTGCCTGAGCTTTAGAACTACCCGCCCGTCTACCGGCCCGGCCTGATAGACTTGATTTATCTAACACACAAAGGAATACAGCAGTACACTGCCCTGAGGACCAAGGATGTAATCAAGCATAGAGTACATACACTCACCTGGCATGCTCTCACACACACTTACACACACACACACACACACACACATCACTGTGTCCTCCTCTTATACAGATCACAAACATGCATCTGTGGCCCCAGGCTGGTTTCCTGAATCAGATGGTGTGTTTTAATTGTTTGTCTCCTCTAAACTCTGATTGTTGGTCTGTTGTGTGTGTGTGCATCAGAAGGCTTGTCCCCTCCTCTTTGCGGAGCCTCCTGCAGTGACAGGTTACAGAAGTCACCCCTCCCTCCCCCTACGCCCCCTCTCCTTCCCAGGGAAAACCTTGAGACTTTCCAGAAACATGATCTCTCTCCGGGGACTTTTTGTCAAGATCCCTCTCTCTTACCCTCCACCCCTGTTCTGATTGGAATAGCAACATCTGTGTCATAATTTATTTTTCCCCCCAGTTTTTGTCAGTTAGGCCCAGAGTGTTCATGATGTCACTACCTTGTCATTGACTAGAATCGATGTGTAGTACTTCCTTGTTAGAATTAAAACGAGAATCACAGCGTATCTCAGTCTTGGATGTTTATTGTGAAAGATTGTGAAAGATTTTGCGTTCTTTTATCTGTTATCAACAAAGACCGCTTGAAGCCTAAATGTGGCCCTGATGGTCTCATCATTGTTCTCTGTGTTCTCTGGGAGGTCACAGAGTACTCACGTGAATCTTGATGTCACAGAGTACACATGAACAGTGATGTCAAAGAGTACTCACATGAATCTTAATGTCACAGAGGACTCACATGAACAGTGATGTCATTGTTTGGTATGATACAGCAACTTGTGTTTTTACAAGGCAGATCCTATTTCATATGTTATCTGTCTCTGTTGACACACCACAAACCAATGATGGAAAGTTGCCATTCCATAATATTTTTTCAGTGTAATATCATCCCGATTGTGAACCATTCTCATGCTCTCTGTATGTCGGACCATCTTCGTAATGTAGTCTAGAGTTTTCTGTAGACCTGAAATTATAGGAACTTTAGAATTAGATCAACTTTTATTTCCAAAAGGAATATCATTTGTAGTGTCAGTTGGTTGTTCTGTTTTGTTCTGGCCTGTAGGTGGAAAGTAATACAACATATAGAATGATAATAATAATAATAAATGCCATTTAACTCTTTTATCCAAAGCGACTTACAGTACAGTCATGTGTGCATACATTTTATGTATTGGTGGCCCCAGCAGGAATCAAACCTACAACCCTTGGCGTCGCAAGCGCCATTCTCTACCGACTGAACCTCACAGGACCAGTAGAAAAGATAGATGTAGTAACTTTGTTAGTAACATTATGTTTTCTATGTGTGTTGCAGCTTTGACGTGGAGAATGGCCCGTCAGCCAGCTGCAGTCCGTTGGACCCTTCAGCGTCTCCCGGGTCAGGCCTGGTCCTACACACCAACTTCCCTGGACACAACCAGCGCAGAGAGTCCTTCCTCTACCGCTCGGACAGTGACTACGAACTCTCGCCCAAGTCCATGTCCCGAAACTCCTCCATCGCATCCGAACTGTAAGTTATCACACACGCACACACTTCCAAACACTCTTACACACTCACATACCATGAAGTGATCTGGTTGTTCTGATCTGTTTGTTCAGTGTGTTCCATTATGTTCGATCCATGTCCCCTGGTACATGATAAATGACAACCATTTCTGTGGATACTACCACCACTAATAATTTGCCAAATGATAAGTGGAAAAAGGGTTCCAAAAGAGGCTCATCGTTATCAGAAAATACCAAAGAAAAAACAGATAAAGCAACACCTCACAGCACAACGCCTCTCCCCTATTTGACCTAGATAGTTTATGTGTATGTATTGATATGTAGGCTACGTGTGCCATTTAAAAATGTATGTAGTTAGGTCCTTGAGCTGTTCTTGTCAATTAATGTTCTGTATTATGTCATGTTTCATGCTTTGTGTGGACCCCAGGAAGAGTAGCTGCTGCTTTCGCAACAGCTAATGGGGATCCTAATAAAATACCAAATACTAAAGATGATGAGCTGATAATAGAAAGAGTCCAAACACATGACAGTGGAAAGAAGCTTTCTTTAACCAGGAACATATTTTACCTAACAACATTACATTCCAGTAGAATAAGTGTTCCTTATTAGTGAATTTCAGGGATATTTTCTCATGTCAGTGTAACTGGTTCTTATTGCTTAATGTCTTTGTGTAACAACATCCTATTTGATAGCCTATAAGCCACTATTATGCAAGACGCCATTGAGCTCTGATGTTATTGTAATTTGGCTGTGGGGTACATAGGGGTAATTTGTCTGTGGGGTACGTAGGGGTCATATTTGAATGTGGGGTACGTAGGGGTAATTTGGCTGTGGGGTACGTAGAGGTATTTGGCTGTGGGGTACGTAGGGGTAATTTGGCTGTGGGGTATGTTGGGGTAATTTGGCTGTGGGGTACGTAGGGGTAATTTGGCTGTGGGGTACGTAGGGGTAATTTGGCTGTAGGGTACGTAGGGGTAATTTGGCTGTGGGGTACGTAAAGGTAATTTGGCTGTGGGGTATGTTGGGGTAATTTGTCTGTGGGGTACGTAGGGGTAATTTGGCTGTAGGGTACGTAGGGGTAATTTGTCTGTGGGGTACGTAGGGGTCATATTTGGCTGTGGGGTACGTAGGGGTAATTTGTCTGTGGGGTACGTTGGGGTAATTTGTCTGTGGGGTACGTTGGGGTAATTTGTCTGTGGGGTACGTAGGGGTAATTTGTCTGTAGGGTACGTAGGGGTAATTTGTCTGTAGGGTACGTAGGGGTCATATTTGGCTGTGGAGTACATAGGGGTAATTTGTCTGTGGGGTACGTAGGGGTCATATTTGGCTGTGGGGTACGTAGGGGTAATTTGTCTGTGGGGTACGTAGGGGTAATTTGGCTGTAGGGTACGTAGGGGTAATTTGTCTGTGGGGTACATAGGGTTAATTTGTCTGTGGGGTACATAGGGGTAATTTGTCTGTGGGGTACATAGGGGTCATATTTGGCTGTAGGGTACGTAGGGGTAATTTGTCTGTGGGGTATGTAGGGGTAATTTGGCTGTGGGGTACGTAGGGGTAATTTGTCTGTGGGGTACGTAGGGGTCATATTTGGCTGTGGGGTACGTAGGGGTAATTTGGTTGTGGGGTACGTAGAGGTAATTTGGCTGTGGGGTGGGTAGGGGTAATTTGTCTGTGGGGTACGTAGGGGTAATTTGGCTGTAGGGTACGTATGGGTAATTTGTCTGTGGGGTACGTAGGGGTCATATTTGGCTGTGGGGTACGTAGGGGTAATTTGTCTGTGGGGTACGTAGGGGTCATATTTGGCTGTGGGGTACGTAGGGGTAATTTGTTTGTGGGGTACGTAGGGGTAATTTGGCTGTAGGGTACGTAGGGGTAATTTGTCTGTGGGATACATAGGGGTAATTTGTCTGTGGGGTACATAGGAGTAATTTGTCTGTGGGGTACATAGGAGTAATTTGTCTGTGGGGTACATAGGGGTAATTTGGCTGTAGGGTACGTAAGGGTAATTTGTCTGTGGAGTACGTAGGGGTAATTTGGCTGTAGGGTACGTAGGGGTAATTTGTCTGTGGGATACATAGGGGTCATATTTGGCTGTAGGGTACGTAGGGGTAATTTGTCTGTGGGGTACGTAGGGGTAATTTGTCTGTGGGGTACATAGGGGTCATATTTGGCTGTAGGGTACATAGGGGTCATATTTGGCTGTAGGGTACGTAGGGGTAATCTGGCTGTGGGGTACGTAGGGGTAATTTGGCTGTGGGGTACGTAGGGGTAATTTGGCTGTGGGGTACATAGGGGTAATTTGTATGTGGGGTACATAGGGGTAATTTGTCTGTGGGGTACGTAGGGGTAATTTGGCTGTAGGGTACGTAGGGGTAATATGTCTGTGGGGTACATAGGGGTCATATTTGGCTGTAGGGTACGTAGGGGTAATTTGTCTGTGGGGTACATAGGGGTCATATTTGGCTGTGGGGTACGTAGGGATAACTTGTCTGTGGGGTACATAGGGGTCATATTTGGCTGTGGGGTACGTAGGGGTAATTTGTCTTAAGATTCCTGTTTGTCCTCAATGGCTCAACTACAGGCACAGTTTAGGGTATTGGGACCTTCGTTACTCATAACTAACTGGCACATACTTTCATAATGACTACCTCCCTGGATGTGGTTAAAGTAACATTATTTCCCCTGGTTTTGAAACAATGGACTGATTTAGCCCATTACACCTGACGTGTGTATGCCACTGTTAACAGTCTTAGGAATGCTTTCTGAATTATGCTCAGGATGTGTTGTTGACATGTTTTTGTTTGTGTTTACAGACATGGTGATGACCTGATAGTAACGCCTTTTGCTCAGGTAAATATGATCCCAGCTCACCTGTCCTTTAACCCAGTTGCTAACACACCTATATTCAGACCATCTCAGTGTCTTTCCATACCTTCTGGAGTAAGTAATGGCTAAACGTGTTTTCTTTCTGTCCAGGTCCTCGCAAGCCTTCGAAGTGTAAGAAACAACTTCACTGTCCTGACCAATGTCCAATGTGCTTCAAACAAGTAAGTGTCTGGTGTTATTGCTGATCTGACTGATTAAGACCCCTACCTAATGAATTATGCATAAATAAAGGTACAAAACAAATTAGTGTCATGTCTGCTTTGGAGGACAATAAACAGCAGCTGTAAATGTGCTGTAGTTTGTATCTCCATCCACAAGAGGGCAGTTGCTACCTATTCCACCCACTCACGGCCTTGTTTTATTGGCGCTTTTCTCTCTGCATTTAAACATTTTCACAGTTCAACACATCATCAAATGAAATCAAATTGTATTTGTCACATGCGCCGAATACAACTGGTATAGACTTTACCGTGAAAAGCTTGACAAAGTTGGGTTGGAACTCGTAAGATGTCGCCCTTCTCTGTCAGCGCTATCCTCAGGCTGTAGAACACATGAACTCAGAACTCAGAACACAGAACTCAGAACACAGAACTCAGAACACAGAACTCAGAACACAGAACTCAGAACACAGAACTCAGAACATATAACTCAGAACACAGAACTCAGAACACAAGAACTCAGAACACATGAACTCAGAACACAGAACTCAGAACACAGAACTCAGAACACAGAACTTGGAACCCATCTTATTATTCTCCCAGGTTTCCATGAGACTCCAGATTCCAAGTCGTCCTTGTGTTTTTCCAGTATAATGATAAGGCCAGGAGAGAGGAGAGAGGTGGTGCACTGCACAGCAGGATGTGAAACACATGGTTTCTCTTTTTCCTCAGGAAAACACTTGAACTACGTCAAGCTATTAGGACACTGTTTGCACTCTTTCTTAAGGAGGTTAGCTGTGGGGTGATGGGGGAAAAACAACCCCGTTATCACTGACACAGATCAACTGCCATTTATGTAAATTATTATATTGTGCATGTTAAGTAATATTGGTCATAAGCCTGTCTGAAATGTCTAAAACATAATGCACACATTATAGGCTATGCATGAATCACATGTCTGTATGCCTTATTATGTAGTGCAGAACATCCTCCTCTAGAATGAATCCACTCAGACTGGGACTAAAACTGGGACAGACTGGGACCCAGACTGGGACTAAAACTGGGACAGACTGGGGTTATACTGGGACAGACTGGGACTCAGACTGGGACTAAAACTGGGACAGACTGGGACTCAGACTGGGACTAAAACTGGGACAGACTGGGGTTATACTGGGACAGACTGGGACTCAGACTGGGACTAAAACTGGGACAGACTGGGGTTATACTGGGACAGACTGGGATCAGACTGGGACAGACTGGGACTCAGACTGGGACAGACTGGGACTCAGACTGGGACAGACTGGGACTAATAATGGGACAGACTGGGATAAAACTGGGACAGACTGGGACTCAGACTGGGACAGACTGGGACTAATACTGGGATAGACTGGGACTAAAACTGGGACAGACTGGGTCTCAGACTGGGACAGACTGGGTCTCAGACTGGGACAGACTGGGATTAATACTGGGACAGACTGGGACAAAAACTGGTACAGACTGGTACTCAGACTGGGACAGACTGGGACTAATACTGGGACAGACTGGGACTAATACTGGGACAGACTGGGACTAAAACTGGGACAGACTGGGACTAAAACTGGGACTCAGGCTGGGACTCAGGCTGGGACTCAGGCTGGGACTCAGGCTGGGACTCATACTTGGACTCAGGCTGGGACTCATACTTGGACTCAGGCTGGGACTCATACTTGGACTCAGGCTGGGACTCATACTTGGACTCAGGCTGGGACTCATACTTGGACTCAGGCTGGGACTCATACTTGGACTCAGGCTGGGACTCAGGCTGGGACTCAGGCTGGGACTCATACTTGGACTCAGGCTGGGACTCATACTTGGACTCAGGCTGGGACTCATACTTGGACTCAGGCTGGGACTCAGGCTGGGACTCAGGCTGGGACTCAGGCTGGGACTCAGGCTGGGACTCATACTTGGACTCAGGCTGGGAC